CCGTTTTTGGCTGGCAGAGTGCTGCTGAAGGCTGTGGAGGCTGAAAACGGGTCGTGCAGGGGCTGCGGGCAGCCCTCCTGCAGCCCATTTTGGTTGGCAGAGGCACCACTGGCTGGTCCTTTGATATTTCCAGGTTGGCCCCGCAGGCCAAATTTAAGCACCCCATGGGCTGGGTCCAGCCTGCGGGCCTTCGGTTTGACACCCTTGAATTAGGAGCATGTTTTTTGCAGAAAATCTAAGCAAGCAAATTGATTCACTAGTTACTTGCTGGAAAAAAAAAGAATTATAATCATAAATAGCAGCCACATCCCAATTAACTGTCAGTTTTCTAGTGGTCCTCATTAATGAGGACCACTCAATTATGAGGTGGTCCTCATTAAAATAATACAAAATGTTTAAAAGTTTCAGAATGGCAAAGAAATCAGGGCAATGAAAGCAAGTTAATTCTGAGTTCCTGGTTACGTGGTTTCAAACAGCTGATGCACCCGTTTGTATACTTTATATTCTGCAGCATTAAGACAAGATGGAATTCAGCTCACTGGAATATTTTTTCCCCAGTTCTAGGATTACAAATGAAAAAAATATGGGTGTTGGCCTTGGGTTGGAAAATTAATTAATATAAACACTCCTAAGTACAGTCATCTGGGAATGATTTACAACCTAACGTGCACTATAGGGATTTTCACCAATGATCTTTTGGAACCAGTCTTCCAAAGTCTGGCATCTTCCACATTTGTTGGACTACAACTCCTGAAGCACCATTGCCACAATGTGGAAGTCTGTCCCAACCTTTCTTTGAAAGACTACTTCTGCAGGCCCACCATGACTCACTGCAAGGAGCTATTTCCCAACATTCAGCTTGAGTTCCCCAAGTCTTGTTCTCTGTATGCTACTTCCTTTCACTGCAGGAGCCCAGAATTTAGCTGCAGGATTAGAGAAACCGGGGATGCTCCCCCTTCCTCCGTATGGGATACCAAGAGGCTCTATTACCTGCAATTAGGGCTTGATGGCTTTTGAAAGACTCTTCCCCCTCACTACTTTCATCTTGATCACTGGAGCACTTCAAAGGAGCTGGAGCTGGTTGGGACTCACATGAGCGCACATATAAGGCATCATCATCGATGGATTTACAAGGGTTGCACATCAAAGCCCTGGAGCCTGTCTTCCTCTCCCACAGTGAAAATGAGAGAAAACAGCAGGAAGGTTGCTGATCTCTGCTGTTTTTATTAAGGAGTGGGACCAGCTCTGGCAAAAGGACTTGTGGTAATATTTCTGACCCCCAAAGAAAGCTTCAGCTATAAGACTAAAGGAAGTGCGATTGCTCAATTTGGCAGAGATTTTCATACCCTTCTAATCAAGGCTTAAGAAGAGCTTCAAGGCAGGACAATGGGATTTTTGGGGTCTCATTACCAGATAAGACTCACAAATAACAGGAGAAAAGCACAGGTTTTGATCATTAAAACAGCAAATGAAGAAAAGACAAACTGTTATTTCTTTTAGGTCCACTGCTCCAACAAAATCAGTGCTCCACCCAGCTCCTTTTAAGTTTAGTGAAATTGGAAGACCTAATAATACTACATTTATTTCTGTCAGCCCTGAGACCAAGTTCTTCAGACAGGGTACACTAAATCTCAAATACCAAAATCAAAGAAAAGGTTCCAACTGTTTGGTTCTGTTTATTTGGGTGGTTGGACACTTATCATCTCTCTCCCTGACAAGCAACAGTGATCAAGGTCTGAGCCTCATCTGGTGCAAAGTTCTCTAGAAAAGAGGTTATTTATTAGGAAGTATCAACAAAAAAGCCCTTTCCCTTAACTCAGGAGTAGGTACTCTGCAGACCCCAAATTTCTTTTTTTGTGGCCCCTATCCTCTGACTTTAATTACAGGAACAGGAAATGCATGAAAAGTTTTGCGTAAGCACTAAATTAACTTAAATAGGTTTAAAATGTGCAAAGTAAGACTTCAACTTTTCCTTCAAAATCAGGAAAAGAAAATCAGCTCAGCCCAGGTATATCTTTACTGCATTCCACTTCAGCTCTTGGGCTCTTCTCAAAAGCTCAGCTGAGACTTCTTTGCATTGTTTTAGTTCTTTGCCTTCTGATTTGGGGAAATCTATTCTTTTTTGCTGGTGTCTTTCAATTGTGGAAATAAATTATTTCTAATATCTTCTCATTTTTATTTCATTTTCCTAAGAGACCTCTGTTATTGGTAGTATGTTAACTTGAAAGCAAGAATGAATGAATGAATGTGGCCTTTGGTTATCGTAAAATACAATGAATCCTTTTCACTATTTACATTAAAATGTGCATAAAGAAAAACCAAAATGAGAGCTTGATTCTTGACTGAAAGCATCTGAATATATTTCTCACAGAATGAAAGTACTTAATAAAGATTGTCTTCTTCTCATTCTATCACTTAGGTACAAGAAAGTCCAAATAAAATGCACATAAACCACGTGTTAAAATGCTGAGCCAGCATTCCTAGGAATGGTTGTGATTGGTATATTAGCTTGAGCTTTGTATGGACATTACTGAAATCTAGTTAAGCCTAATTTAGGATTTAACCCAGAAGGATGATCAAATTCAAACTTGAGTTTTCAAGGGGAAAGCTCTATCCAAGAACAGCAATAGCAGTAGACTTATATACCGCTTCATAGGGCTTTCAGCCCTCTCTAAGCGGTTTACAGAGAGTCAGCATATTGCCCCCAACAATCT